TATCTGAAAAACATTGCTAAAGTCAGAAATTCGGCTTTGAAAATGTGTGTTACGTGCCAGAACGTCTCTTTGTTTTTGTCTATTAACCCGCCCAATGCCACTTTAGCCAATTATATTCCAGCACCCCGGGCTGCCTTGATAGAGAACAGCGTATTTCATTCATTCATTCATGAAGGCTCTCAAATTTCCGACCAAAATGCAACCTCCGGTGTACAGTAACAGACTCCGAAATAAGACGCAGATTCAGAGTTCCACATGAGGTGGTTATTAATTTGCAAATAATATAAATATTGGGTTACATTGTAATCCCGTGTCCTAACAACACGCTACGTGACAAGATTTGAACCGATAAGCAATTTGGCTGTTTGCACAAGACAAAACACAACTGAAATTTAAATACAGCCATTCAGAAGCACAGAATTTGCACTCACCGCACTTCAACGAAATGGTAAGGTTGATAATCTAATTAATACATATTAAACCTCTTTAACATTATTAAATGTACATGCTAAATCATTCATGTGTTGGTTTGTACTGAGTCTCAGTTCTAAAGTTTCATTTCAAACTGTTTATTTTATTTTTAAGATCTGAGGTGAACTATCTGCTGCTGCTTTCAGTAGTATAGCAATACATGTCATGTAAAACTGCATTCAAACTCACAATGTTAGCATTTAACACTGAATGAAGAACATGAGGTTTACCTGAGGTGATCATGGTCAGTTTTCTGTTGTTCAGCTGCAAGAAATAAAAGCCGTTTCTGAAATATAAATTCCAGGTGTTGATTAGGACAAAAACTGGAGAATATGTAGAATATTCCTTCATTCACATGTCATTGCTTTTATTTAAAACACGCCTTAAATCAACATTTGGGTTTAACAGTCTGCTGTTGGTGTCGTCAATCTGCGATTGCGTGTTTTGAACCAAGAGTGCAATACTTCAAAAACTTACACACTGCACCTTTAAAAAAATAATAATAAAAATAATAATAATAATAATGAATCGCCCTCATCTTAATTTCCCATTTCATTCTTTTCAAGTTTCCGGGAAATGCTGAGTTTTTTTTTCTCTCATTCGCCGTGCGGTATCAAACATTGCATGAAAAATACACGCTTAGAGCAGTTCATCGAATCAAATATTTCGTTTGTCGCGAGGGACATGAATGAATTCCCTGAATGAAAGAGCCAAACTGCAGTTAAAGTCCACCATTTAATAATTTGGCAAATAATTCGACTACAGATGTCAATGTAAACACAGTCACTTTGTCTCCTCTCTCTCTCTGTGTGTGTGTGTTTTGACTCTGAAAGTCAGCGCGCCCAAATAGACACGCCCACACCATGCCTCTTTTCTTCCTCTGACACTCCCCCAAAACAAAGCTGGACACGCCCACTTTTCTGACTTTTTCCAAAGTAGAGGTGTGAAAACACCCTGCTGAAACGAGGGGGTTTCATGGCCCTTTAAAGCTTAAAAATGACATGATGTTTAATATGATCTAGACAAATGTTGTTTTCAATACACCAAACTCAAATTATTTATTGCTTTTAACAATATGTTTGTAAAATAAGAGTTACACTCAAAAGGAGTAAACCTTAGGTAACTTTCACATTTTTTAATCTCTATAAATTTTCTGTTTTAATTATTATTCTACATAAAAAATTGACCAAAATACAAACTGAGAGCTGATATTTTTCCAGTATAGCAACTAAAATCAACACGAAAGCAAAGAAAGAAAAACAAAGAATAAAAGACGAAAGCACCCGGATGTAGGCTTAAAATAAACATCATGATTAGACTTTATTGAACACCCATAAACATTACAAAAGAGGTGCCATATCACAAGTCCATCACTGACCCCCCCCAAAAAACACCTTCCAGTCTAAAAAGCAGCGTCTCTTGAAACAGGCCACTTCCCTCATACAAACAAACAAACAAACAGCAGCTCGACTGAACAAACCCACACAAACTACACAAACCAAATGAAGAGAAACGTACGAGCAACAACGACAAGCGACATCAACAAATACTTTATGGCTTTCCGCTCTCCTCCCTTTTTGGACACATAAATCAGAGATGCACGATATTTTGATTTCTGCTGAGATCCAATAAGCCAACATTTTTTAAATGAATTTTCACAGATATTCTATTTGTTAGTCTACAATTGTCTGCTGTTCATTTTACTGATACAATATCGCAATAATAATTTTGCAACCTGAATTACTAGGCGCCTTTCCATTACCCTTAAAACTGTGCAAATCAAAATAGTGAATTGAAAATATGCCTATATGGAAATGTGCATCCTTAAACAAAAATGACCAAACACATCATCAAAAAAAGAGAAAAATTTGCATTGCTCGCGTTTTTATGCTTGCATGAGGTGGTTTTAGAGCTGTTTTAAAAAAGGGAAAAGGAATATTTTACAAAACTGCAATGGAAACAGGTCACATGGCGTATATAATATGGTCACTCTTTAAAGATGGAGCACACCAACTACAAAACTATTATAGCATAGCACTAATGTGCTCATGCTGACCAGAGTTCAATTCTGGGTTCGGGAACCAATCCTTTTCCCTTCTTTCTTCCCCATGCTTTCCTGTGTACACACTATTGTCCAGTAAAACTAAAGGTATAAACCTTTATATATACATTTATATTATTATTAAAGTCAAGCAACAGAGTAATGTCATGATTTACAAAGACCTGGAGGCAGACATGAAGGCGGGTTTCCCACTTTAAGCCAAATGTCAAATTCCCTGATTTTGGCCACTTATCTAAATGTGTCACGACTTCCAGTTTCATTCACTTCCATTTATATAAAGCAAAACAAAGGAAAACGTGTGCTGCTTAATGTTGTAAACTGTCATTTTCTTATTATATTGTTTTAATATATTTGACTGAACGTCGACAAGCGGGAAAATAATAAAAGGCACAGAAAGAAAATAAATTAACCATAACAATAGAAAAAACTTAAACAAATGCAAAAAAAAGATGGTATTTTAAGTTTCATTCTGATTAATGGCAAGTAAAATTTAAATCAACAATGAAAAATCCATGATATTCAATGACTTGGACAAAAAATATATAAAATTCCCTGAAATTTTCTGTCTAAAATAAAATTCCATGATATTCCAGCAATTCCAAGACTTGTAGGAACCCTGAAATAACGCACTGATGGCTGACAGATCTCCTTCTATTAAAAATAAAATGACTAGTACATTGACTGTATTGTAAGTAAATCTTTATATTTTACTATAATTTTTGATTTTATTATGTTTTAGTCAGCTAATGCAGTGGTCTCAACCACCGGGCTGGTACCGGTCCATGGATCAGTTAGTACCGGGCTTCACATGAAATCATTCATTATTTCCGTTTTATTTATTACCTGAATCTGAACGATCTTTTATTTTGAAAAAACCTTTACTTTGAAAAATGACCTTATTCTCTCGGTTACATCTCGGCCACTTGAGCGCCCAAATTTAGCTCTAAAGCAGCAAAATAAGTAAGAAACAGACGTCTTTGGAAAGTTTCTTTCCTCAGGGGAAAAGGCCCATCGAAGGACCTGTGAACTGCCAAGGAATGGATCAATCGGGTGAATACACCATGTCTGTGCAAGTAGATCAACTTTTGGAGATCTCAAATGATGGAAGCCTCTAAAAAAATGGGTCCGTTAGCCTATCCTGTCTTTTCTAGAGCACGGGAAGTTAGTTATTTTCAATCGACATGCGTGCCAGATAGACACACCAAGTTGAATAAATGCCGTAAGTAGGCATGAGCCGGTATAAGATTCTGACGGTATGATAACCTTAGATATAAATATTACAGTTTCACAGTATCACGATATTGAGATTACTGCTCTAAAATATTTTCTTTTTAAACGTCTGGGTAAAAAACAAAACCTTTTCCCCCTTTCTTCAGCTTCCAGAAATGATCAGATGTGCTCCAACATTAGGCACATTCGAATCAAGACTGAAAACACATCTGTTTAGCTGTGCCTTTACTGATTGAGCACTGTGCTACGTCCGACAGACTGCACTATTATGTTTTATTATGTTTTTCTCTTCTTCTTCATTTTTTTAATATTACATTTTACCCATTTTTTGTTTTTTTAACTCATTTTTATTATTTGTTTTTATTTTTATTTTACTTTATTTTACTTTATTTTTTCTTTTTATTTTACTTTTATTCTTGTTTATGTAAAGCACTTTGAATTGCCACTGTGTATGAAATGTGCTATATAAATAAACTTGCCTTGCCTTGCCTTTGTACACAATATATTTGAATTTGAGAAACATTTCAAATATTTTGGAACAGTAAACATGTCAGGCTAAATAATTCAAATGAATTATTTACTTATGCTGTCTTCATTAGTTTCAAAAACACCGATTTTTTTTACAATTTAAAACTGCAACTCTGGAGATCTTTTCTGCTGGAGATACTGTTGTCCTAAAAAAGTAATAAAAAAAAAAAATTAAATAAAAAACATTACTCATACCTTAGGAACGGTATAGCAGAAAACTTGGACGGTCCTAAAACCTTGACTTTTCCAAACCGCAGTATACCTTGAACACAGTTATCGTCACATGCCTAGCCGCAAGCAGTTCGCAGTGAAAAAAAGGTCAGGGACCACTGAACTAATGGAAATGTTGACATTTAGAAAATACTGCCAGACTTCTGCCCAAATTCGTAATGGAAATGTGCCTAGTGAATTTACATTGTCAATCAACTATTTAATCAAATAATCAGCAGATTGTTGACTTAATCTTATAGCTAGCACTCCTGCCAGAAAATGTATTGCTGACTCATCATTTTATGAAGAAGGCAGATCAGCATCATTTTTGATATCGAGTTAAAACCGATGAGTACATCTCAATCAATTATTAGTTGATTCCTCGAATGTGGCAATAATATCGTGCATCCCTAACATGGATATTTGATTTCATGGCAGCATCATTATTATTTATGGACTCGATGAAGGCTTCGTGCGGTCTTGGGTTTTTCGCGCTGAGCGTTATCGACATGGTGGTTCAGGCTGATGGGGACTGGGCCTGTACAGCTGCTGCAGGCGCACCGGCCTGACAGGCCAGCCAGGTAACTGTCCTATTACTCTGAGGCCGACAGGCTGCCCTGGGCAGGAGTGTGGGGCGCTGGGGCCTGACCCCTGTGGCTGGCCCGAGCGAGAGTCCAGTATTGAGGCGGAGGAAGATGACAGAGGCAGCAGGATGGCCGGGGTCAGGCCGTAGCGAAGTTGGAAGACCCGAGGCGGGCCGCTGATGCCGTTAGAATGGGACTCCTTGAGCTGGTCCTCCCTCTTGTGCTGCTCCTCCTCTTGTTTCTTGGCTTTCCTGCCGGGTCTGTTGAGCTCCTGGAGCTTCTCGGCTTGAGCGCGGCGGATGTGGTATGTCTTCCTGTGGCTTTGAAAACAATCCAGGAACTCCTCCAGGGGCACGTGGCCCTCCATGAATCTCTCCAGCAGCTCCTGTGAAGGTCAAATGACAAATAAACAGGTATTAGAGGAGGGGAAGGACCAGGCGGATTCATAACAGGCATGACGCAGATGCAAAACATCTTCGCTGTGACTCATCGCGTTCCAAGACAAATGTCAAAACCTTGCTGTGTAAAAAACAAAGCAAAAATACAGTTATTTCCACACCTATTGTGACCCTTCGGTGGTTTTGATCTCATTCCTTCAGAGTCCTTCATTTTTAGTGTGTTTTTTTAAATACGGATTTAAGGTAACCTAGCTTTGGGTTCAAAATGTATTTTCATATATTTCCAATGAATTCTTTTAAATTTTTTGATAGTTTTTATTTTGAATATATATACTGTCCATATGTTGGAACACACCCGATAAATAAGACGCCAGATCCTGTGAGAAAATGTCTGTTTCTCTGGGTATCCAGACAACAAGCCAGCGGAGGCGGCCAATATCCAAACTTGTTAACACAAGCAACAGCAATAGAAAACTAGAACCTAAAGTTTATTGATAAACTTTGATGTTGGCTTGAGAAAGCCAACATGACTGCGCTAGGACTGGGAATGGCAGTTGGCAGGAAGCACGGCAGCGGTTGCTAAGTGGTTGCTAGGCCGTTGCTAAAACAATTATGGCATTGTTAGGTGGTTGCTAAGCAGTTGCTAAATGGTAATGCTCGTGTACATGTTTGATTAAATGCTAATACTCTGTAGGCATTTCTAGCATATGTTATTTCATTTAGATAATCATTCATAGCATGTAGCGAGTCGTTATTAGCACTTGGCTTCCATTATCATTGTTACCATGCATAGTACACAGGAAGTCCCATATGCTAGCATGAGTCAAACAAGCCAATGCCCAGGTCCAATGCAAATCCATTGATGTGCAGCTCCCCAAGCCCTGAACCAAGCAAACCAGTGGCGACAGTGGTGAGGAACAAAAGTTCACCAATTGACAAAAGTGAAGGAAAAAAAAGAGAAACCAGGCTCTGTTGGGCCCAACCCTTTCTCCTCTGGTCAAACTTCCTGTGTGGAGCTGCAGTCTAGGCGCCAGAGGCTGTAGAACACTAGATGTCCAACGTGGAGAAGCTGCAGGCGTATTTGTCCAGAGATAATACAGATCTTGAAATAGAGACATTCTTATATCTCTTCTGCTTGAAAACAGGTGTTGCTTGAATCCACACAGTCATAAGAAAATAACAACATGGAAAATTTAATAATAATAATAAAGCATTCATTAATAATAAAATAAAAACATAAAAAATGACAAATAATAATCAATGATAATAATCAATTTATTAACTAATAATCGATAAAATGATATAATGATAATGATACACGAATCATATGATTAAATAGAAGAATTAAATGAAGAATAAAGGAAAATAAATAAAACACAACAAATGAATGGTTGCTTTCATGAAACAACACACATAAGTTTGCTACAAGGATTCTCAAATCCTTAGATTCTTTACATAAGAATGCACAACAAACCTATATTATTAATACTATTTATGATTAACTAAATTATAAAATAAAAAGAAAATGTACTGTTTGCAATTTACAATTATGCTGTAAAATGCTGTTTATTAATATTATAATAATTTCATTTTACACGTCAAGAGGCAATGCTAACATTTGCTAACATAATAATGCATCGTTAATATTCATATTCATATTATTATTATTAATATTATCACTGATTGTTTAAAGTGTAAAATAAAAAAAACATAAGTATAAAATACAGTTGCAAAATACAATTGTTCTGAAAAGCCAAATTAATATTAGATAACATTGTACGATTTTTTAAAAACACCAAGTGGCGATACTAACACATAATAATAATAAAAAAATTATAATACTATTAACATTAATAATAATAATAATAATAATAATAATAATAATAATAATAATAATAAAGTTATAATAATATTAACAATAATAATATTAATAATAATAATAATAATAATAATAATTAGGTAAAAAATAAATGCATACTATAAGACAATAAACGTGTTTATTGACCTTACATGCATATCAGCCTGTTTTTGGAGACCCTTAAAACCAAAAGGGGCTCTTTAACTAAATCAATGAAATGAATGAATGAATCAGCAGTGCTAAACTATATTTGGCTAAAGATTGGCCGAGTTAAATGACCAAAACCATGACAGATGTTCCGGCACATAGCGCACATTTTCAAAGCAAAATAACTGACGTCAGCATTGTTTTTAAGATAAACAAGCATGTTCACTTAGCATGTTTCTTAAACCTGCAAACATATGATGGTATTTTTATGCTTTAAATGAGTCAAAAACTTACAGCACCTTTAAATTTGCCAAAACAATAAAGTTAACTTAATCTATTGGTGTTGAGACACCATGAAGAAACTGTGTGGAACCCAGCATTTTTAACAGTGTTGGAAAAAACCCACATTAGAATGTTTCAAAACCTTGTTTCAGCTGCGTTCCATGTGTGTTTAACATATGATTTTAACAGACGAAGCTCATAAAGTGTTTCTCTTAGGGAAATCAATAAAGTAAATGCAAAAGTCATATGGCCGTTTAACACTGTAAAGCTGAACAAATGAACAAACAAGCTGTGTGCAGTAATAATGTATGATGAGCTGAAGTGTTTGGGGGTCTCTGGTGAGGGGGCAGGTGTCTGCACTCAGTCTGTCTCAGTATGGGGGGACTGAATTATTGATACGTCTCGTCTGCAACAACCCCCCCCCCCCCCCCCCAAATGTCCTTCAACACACAACAATAAAAGTCAGGACACGACCCTTCTACTACATCACATCAGTGTAGGGCAGGCAAAGTCCCTTTAAGGCAAGTCATTTCACTTGGGGGCCATCTTTGAATTGCCTTTGGGGGATGCAAGTGCAAGCTTCTTTCTTTTTTAACCAGGAAAAATCAAAACAGTTTACAATTAAATATCATATTTGGAGTCATGAATGAAATTTAATAACAACTGCCTCTTAAATTTGGTTTCTAAATGTTCAAAAAAAAAAAACATTTTTTTGAGGTTGCCCAAAGCTAATGTGGAGGCGCACTAGAAGCGAACGAGATCATAACACCAACCTCCTTTTTGGCTATTTCTATCGATTGTAATCTAGTCGGTCAAACTATGTAACTACCATAAAAACCAATAGCTTATGTGTTACTCATTATTATCCTCTAAACCATTGTTTCCCAACCCTGTTCCTGGAGGCAAACCAACAGTACATATCTTTCATATCTATCCCATTTCATTTCAGGTCTTGGGAGTCTCTTTTAATGTCCTGATGAGTTGATTCAGGCGTGTTTGAATAGAAAGAGGTTGAATATGTGTACTGTTGGTGTGCTTTCAGGAACATGGTTGGGAAACACTACTCTAAATAATACGGCATCTAATTGCGCTGTTTTGTTGTTGTTGTAATAATCCCCAATGTATTCCTACCAGCAAATCTTCTCCTAAAATGACAGGCGACTTCTTTGTTTACAAGTTTATGGCCATTCAAATGGTTCCCATTATGTGATTTGCATTTAAATGATGGAGTCGGGATTTCATGAGGTCAGATAGGACTGACTGTACCTCACATTTACTTCATACAGACTACAAAACCAGGGAATATTTGATTTCAAGTGTTGTTGGTTTGTTTAAAAGTACAGGTTTTAAGCTTTATGTAGATATATTTTTTTACTGTGAGTCAAATATTTTATCAACTTAGAATGATAAGATTCTATCTGACATTTTTGTCAAAATTGAGTTACTGAAATATTCTTATTAAATGACAAATAATTTACATTATGGGATGTTTTTCATAACTTTACATTTTAGGACTTTTTATTTAAAAAAAAAAAAAAAAATGTTACACACATACTATGTGTAACTTATACTTTAAATGTCCATGCTTAATCGGTCATTGATAAGGTAAAAATAAGGGCTGTCATAATAGCGCGTTAACGCACATGATCAATTTGAAATATTTAACGCTTTTAAAAAAATAATGCAAATAACACAGATGCAGTTTTTTTATTTCCTGTTGTGGCCGACGTGTGTTTAGGGCTGGCGCGTCCATAGATGCGACCTAGGCAGCTGACTTGAGCAGCAGAACCCCCTGGTCCTCACATTCATCCGCTACACCCACCCCCTCCCTCACTGATCTCGGCCTTTCATATGAATAAAACGCAGTGATTGCCGTTTGCCTAGAGCGCCAGTTCAGTTTGCTTTGGCTCTGTGTGTGTTAAACGTGCAAAGAAGTATGGCGTTTCCTCCAGAGTTTCATGCAATTTCGGGTGTTTCATTTTTAATATTAGACTTTATTTACATTTACATTTACATTTAGTCATTTAGCAGACGCTTTTATCCAAAGCGACTTACAAATGAGGACAAGGAAGCAATTTACACAACCAAGAGCAACAATGAATAAGTGCTATAAGCAAGTTTCAGGTCTGTAAAGTCTAAGAAGGGAAGTATTAGTAGTATTAGTATTTTTTTTTTCTTTTTTTTTTTACAGTTAGTGTGATATTCAGAGAGGCAATTCCAGATTAGGAAGTGTAGTGGAGACTAAATAGTTGAGTTTTTAGTCGTTTCTTGAAAGTAGCGAGTGACTCTGCTGTTCTGATGCAGTTAGGGAGTTCATTCCACCAACTGGGCAGATTGAGCGTGAGCGTTCGCGAAAGTGATTTCTTCTCCCTTTGGGATGGAACCACGAGGCGATGTTCATTCACAGAACGCAAGTTTCTGGAGGGCACATAGATCTGCAGAAGCGAGAGCAGATAAGAAGGAGCAAGGCCAGAAGTCACTTTGTAGGCAAACATCAGAGCTTTGAATTTGATGCGAGCAGCAACTGGCAGCCAGTGCAAACGGACTAGCAGCGGAGTGACATGTGCTCGTTTAGGTTCATTGAAGACCACTTGTGCTGCTGCGTTCTGGAGCAGTTGAAGAGGCTTGATAGAGTTAGCTGGAAGCCCAGCTAGTAGAGAGTTACAGTAATCCAGTTTGGACTTTATCTGCAGTTCAGCA